TGTCCCTTACTAAGAACCATGTCAGCGTGATCTTAGTACCCACCTTTCTGAATATAAGCTCAGTATTGTCCCTTACTAAGAACCATGTCAGCGTGATCTTAGTACCCACCTTTCTGAATATAAGCTCAGTATTGTCCCTTACTAAGAACCATGTCAGCGTGATCTTAGTACCCACCTTTCTGAATATAAGCTCAGTATTGTCCCTTACTAAGAACCATGTCAGCGTGATCTTAGTACCCACCTTTCTGAATATAAGCTCAGTATTGTCCCTTACTAAGAACCATGTCAGCGTGATCTTAGTACCCACCTTTCTGAATATAAGCTCAGTATTGTCCCTTACTAAGAACCATGTCAGCGTGATCTTAGTACCCACCTTTCTGAATATAAGCTCAGTATTGTCCCTTACTAAGAACCATGTCAGCGTGATCTTAGTACCCACCTTTCTGAATATAAGCTCAGTATTGTCCCTTACTAAGAACCATGTCAGCGTGATCTTAGTACCCACCTTTCTGAATATAAGCTCAGTATTGTCCCTTACTAAGAACCATGTCAGCGTGATCTTAGTACCCACCTTTCTGAATATAAGCTCAGTATTGTCCCTTACTAAGAACCATGTCAGCGTGATCTTAGTACCCACCTTTCTGAATATAAGCTCAGTATTGTCCCTTACTAAGAACCATGTCAGCGTGATCTTAGTACCCACCTTTCTGAATATAAGCTCAGTATTGTCCCTTACTAAGAACCATGTCAGCGTGATCTTAGTACCCACCTTTCTGAATATAAGCTCAGTATTGTCCCTTACTAAGAACCATGTCAGCGTGATCTTAGTACCCACCTTTCTGAATATAAGCTCAGTATTGTCCCTTACTAAGAACCATGTCAGCGTGATCTTAGTACCCACCTTTCTGAATATAAGCTCAGTATTGTCCCTTACTAAGAACCATGTCAGCGTGATCTTAGTACCCACCTTTCTGAATATAAGCTCAGTATTGTCCCTTACTAAGAACCATGTCAGCGTGATCTTAGTACCCACCTTTCTGAATATAAGCTCAGTATTGTCCCTTACTAAGAACCATGTCAGCGTGATCTTAGTACCCACCTTTCTGAATATAAGCTCAGTATTGTCCCTTACTAAGAACCATGTCAGCGTGATCTTAGTACCCACCTTTCTGAATATAAGCTCAGTATTGTCCCTTACTAAGAACCATGTCAGCGTGATCTTAGTACCCACCTTTCTGAATATAAGCTCAGTATTGTCCCTTACTAAGAACCATGTCAGCGTGATCTTAGTACCCACCTTTCTGAATATAAGCTCAGTATTGTCCCTTACTAAGAACCATGTCAGCGTGATCTTAGTACCCACCTTTCTGAATATAAGCTCAGTATTGTCCCTTACTAAGAACCATGTCAGCGTGATCTTAGTACCCACCTTTCTGAATATAAGCTCAGTATTGTCCCTTACTAAGAACCATGTCAGCGTGATCTTAGTACCCACCTTTCTGAATATAAGCTCAGTATTGTCCCTTACTAAGAACCATGTCAGCGTGATCTTAGTACCCACCTTTCTGAATATAAGCTCAGTATTGTCCCTTACTAAGAACCATGTCAGCGTGATCTTAGTACCCACCTTTCTGAATATAAGCTCAGTATTGTCCCTTACTAAGAACCATGTCAGCGTGATCTTAGTACCCACCTTTCTGAATATAAGCTCAGTATTGTCCCTTACTAAGAACCATGTCAGCGTGATCTTAGTACCCACCTTTCTGAATATAAGCTCAGTATTGTCCCTTACTAAGAACCATGTCAGCGTGATCTTAGTACCCACCTTTCTGAATATAAGCTCAGTATTGTCCCTTACTAAGAACCATGTCAGCGTGATCTTAGTACCCACCTTTCTGAATATAAGCTCAGTATTGTCCCTTACTAAGAACCATGTCAGCGTGATCTTAGTACCCACCTTTCTGAATATAAGCTCAGTATTGTCCCTTACTAAGAACCATGTCAGCGTGATCTTAGTACCCACCTTTCTGAATATAAGCTCAGTATTGTCCCTTACTAAGAACCATGTCAGCGTGATCTTAGTACCCACCTTTCTGAATATAAGCTCATGTCAGGGTAATATTAGTACCAACCTTTCTGAATATGAGCTCAGTATTGCTCCTTACTAAGAACCATCTCAGTGTGATCCTAGTACCAACCTTTCTGAATGTAAGCTCAGTATTGTCCCTTACTACGAACCATGTCAGCGTGATCTTAGTACCCACCTTTCTGAATATAAGCTCAGTATTGCCCCTTGCTAAGAACTATGTTAGTGTGATCTTAGTACCAACCTTTCTGAATGTAAGCTCAGTATTGTCCCTTACTAAGAACCATGTCAGCGTGATCTTAGTACCCACCTTTCTGAATATAAGCTCAGTATTGTCGATCTTAGTACCGACCTTTCTGAATATAAGCTCAGTATTGCCCCTTGCTAAGAACTATGTTAGTGTGATATTAGTACCAACCCTTCTGAATATTTGCTCAGTATTGCCCCTTACTAAGAACCATGTCAGCGTAATCTTAGTACCGACCTTTCTGAATATAAGCTCAGTATTGCCCCTTGCTAAGAACTATGTTAGTGTGATATTAGTACGACCCTTGTCATGTTCCCCCGCCCTTTGCCGTGTACAACGTGATCTCAGTGCCACCCCCAGCTGAGAACCATGATGTGATCAAATATATTTTTACTCTTACACATCCATACAATAAGACGTTAGCTGGATCTTATTCAACATATATTTCAACATTTCGGAACCAAAGTGACCCAGTCAACATCATTTACTGATTTAAAGACGATCACCAATCAATGTAAATATTTATATCAGTACCACCCCTTGCCGTGTACCATGTTAACGTGATCTCAGTACCGTCCCCCGCCGTGTACCATGTTAACGTGATCTCAGTACCGTCCCTTGCCGTGTACCATGTTAACGTGATCTTAGTACCGTCCCTTGCCGTGTACCATGTTAACGTGATCTTAGTACCGTGCCTTGCCGTGTACCATGTTAACGTGATCTTAGTACCGACCTTTCCCAACATGATCTGAGTACTTTTCTTGCTAAGGACCATGCCAACGTGATCTTAAGGACAAAGTCAGTGTGATCTGAGTACCGCCCCAGATCTAAGGATCTTCTCGGTGTGCCATGTCAAAATAACCTCAGTATGTTTTCCAAAGTGATTTTGTAGATGAAAAGTTCTTTGCGTTGCATGTCTACGACAGATGGAAATTATTCCAATGATGAAGAAAAGTGAATAGGTTTTCGTTCATATTGAAAATGTTGCAAAATGATTTCAGTGTCGTTGATCGAATTAATATCTTTGACGTTTGACCGATGATATTTGCGGTAATCATTTTCCGGGGAAGTTGAGAAACTGTTTTCATTTGCAAGTTATTAAATTTATTTTACGAATGCACTGCTTCAGGCAAATGGGGTAACTGACCTTTGCAAAACGTTCTATGAACTGTCTAACCCTCGAAACTCCCACGTGGCACTTTTCAAGCATGTAGAAGCTGAATCTCAGGAACATCACGCACGCTTTTATCTGTAAAGAAGATTATATATTCAACGAAGACCAATTACTTTAAAAACAGGAAAGCTTCTTGGGGTTTTTTTGGTCAGGAACATCCTGCCAAGAGGATGAGCCTTCTGCTGTTATTTAGTCTGACCAGGTCAATAACTTTGATCACGGTCATGGTAGCTGACAGGGGTTCCCAGCCGTAAATCTTATGTACGAAGGGCAAAAGAAAGGCTCTTTGCTTTTCCATGATTGATAGAGTGGATGGCGTTGACTGCTTATTATTTACTGTAAAGAATTCAATGTTAAACCCAAAACTTACAAAGAAATATTTACATGTGGACTATATAATTAATATATTTACAAGCTATTAATGCAAACTTAAGATCAGGGCAGTATGAAACAAAATAGCATTTGAAACAGCAATAACGTTAGTGATAATACTACTTACCAAGCCACAGATGTCAATCTTAGGCCTGGGTTGGATACCCAAGGCCTAGGTTGGATACCCAAGGCCTAGGTTGGATACCGCAACCGTTGTAGTAGTGTGAAGTGATACATGCATGTGAGTACCCATTCATACATGCCTTCCAGAATTTCCCATAATATGCTGTTATGTATCAGGCAAGATATCCGTTATTATCCCTTGAACACAAAGAAGCATGACCAGCTCGATGTCGGTGGTATTTGGCGTAAAGGGCACGAGGCTACTGAATGGAAGAAAGTCGATTTCCTTTGTTCATGACTGACATGCTCGTGTTAGCGCTGAAGAAACACTGCAAATGCACGATGGAATGTCTTGGAGCAAGTACCGTTTGGCGGGGGTTCATTGGTGGTGGTGGTGGTGTGTGTGTGTGTGTGTGTGTGTGTGCGCGTGCGTGCGCGTGCGTGCGTGCGTGTGTGTGTGTGTGTGTGTGCGTGCGCACGTTTCTCACAAGCCATGATTGTAAACGTGACGTTGTGCTGATCAGACAAAATCCGAATGAACAACGGTTAGCACTGGCATACTACCACATTTAGATAATTCAAAATATCCTCTGAACAAATGGCCAGTCTTTTTTAAAAAGCTTCAGTCCATGGGAATTTTACTTTTCCTTTCTTGCGCTACATTTAGTAGGTATGTTAAAATATAAAAAAATAGTAGTATATTTTGGTTTTGGTACCTTGGCCTTGCACAAAATGTATATAACATGTTTTATGTTAACCCACGTGTTTGTATGTGTCCCTTAGACGAACAAGTCATTCATTCCATCCAAAATATACATAACTGATGGAGGAAGTGACAAACGATTTATTACTGCCCAGCAGTAGATGCTCTATGTACACAAAATTAATTTACTTGATTAATGTGATGTGTATTGATATACTGTGACCTTTACTCATGGTTTGGATGTCTGGTAACATATTGACACTGTGCAACACCTGTTCTTTCTTCTGCAGTGACGTGTGAAGACCATGGGCGAAAACACGTCCTTCTGGCCTGGTGAGGTCCCAAATACCACGGACGTCCCTGAAAAAAATCACCCCTCTGTGCCCCATCCTCCTGCCTACCTTCTCGGCACAGCTACGGCCCTCTACGTCGTCGTCTTCGTTGTAGGTCTTTGCGGCAACTTCGCCGTCATCTCCGTCGTTCTGCAATGTCGCTCCATGAGAACCTTCATCAACTTCCTGTTCTTGAACCTCTGTCTTGCTGACCTGTTTGTCCTCCTGATTACCGGACCCACGGCAGTGGTGGACATCTACGCCCGTGAAGTGTGGTACCTCGGCAAATCCATGTGTGAGTAGGGACTAGTCAATTCATTTGGAGATAACTAGTGTGGTTTAAAATATGTTATTCGCCGAGGACCCGGGTTCGATTCCCCACATGGGCACAATGTGTGAAGCCCATTTCTGGTATCCCCCGCCGTGATATTGCTGGAATATTCCTAAAAGCAACGTAAAACTGAACTCACTCAGATAAAATATGTTATTATTATTATAGAGATAAACAGTTTGCTTTGTCGCTTTTATTACTATAAGATAGTTTGTCTCTTTCTAAAGAGTTATTTAGGAGATGAATAATGTGTTTTCAAAGTGGCATTGCTTAGGAAATATACAGTGTTCTCTTTAAAATGCTATCAGTTAGGACCTTAACTGTGCGTCGTTTTAAAATGAAGCTGTGAGTATGTACGTGACCAAGAATGATTTCGTACTGTACTGTGTACCTAACTACATCTCACATAACTATCAGTCTTCAATAAGCTTCTTGTACACTACCATATTAACTTTAGCCAATCATTTCGTGTTGTCATTAGTCCAACAAAAACATGCAGCTTTTGAAATTATCAGTCTGGTTCTCACTCGTATCACGTTCTAAATGTTTTGTCAATTATTAGATTATGATTCAGCTCACGCTTTCCATACTGCTTTAACATTGAAAATCCCTAAATCTATATATACTACCCATCAAAAGTTTAGACTCACTAGTGTAAATGTAGTCCACTGTCCTAAACTAGATTTTGCAAATAAATCCATACTGTTTAAAGGTACTGTTTACACATGAACTGATGTATTGTAAAACAAATTTGTAACGTTGAAAAGATTATTGTCATGAGTTCAATAAATGATGAAACTCAGTGAAAATTGGCAAAATCTTAACAAAACTTTACACCGAAACGCAGCTGTTCACATGCACGATATTTGCACAAGCTTTCCAGCAAATTTGATGCATCATCCTCGTGCATTTCATCTGCATAAGCTTTGCAGTTGGTTTTCCCTAAGTTAGTGGAGAATTTCATCTTCGATGTAACCATATATATATATACATAACATATAGTGAGCGCTTTCAGTGAGTCTAAACTTTGATGGGTAGTATAGATTGGCTCACAATATATCCAACATGGAGCTCGTTTGGACAGCATGATATAATGTTTTGTATTATCCACATTTAATACCTATTCTGATGCCAACGTGTGTAGGTGCTTATGATTTCATCAAACACTTCAAATGTTACTTTTAACTTTAACTCTTCCAAATCCAGTAGTGTATAATATTACGAATATGATCCTCTATATAGCTTCACCCATGGGAGTGAGGGCTCCACTTATAATGCTTCTTTGAACAACACTGTTAGTTTATATTGGAAGGATGCCCCAAAGAGATGTTCACACTACTCTATAAGGCGTTTTTCACTTGGTGCTTTCATAATAGTTACGGTCATTGGGTTCGAACCAGCGAGCAGGACCTCCTGGTCTGGAATTAGATCCTGGGGCTATCTGTGTCGCTAAGTCATCCATCCACACACTTCTTCTTCCTCAATCACGGAAAAAACACCTAACTGCAATCGATTTTCAGGGAACAAACGTCCACGTTTGGATTGGATGTCCGCATATAAATCACTATGTATGGTCATGGAGAAAATTGGCTGTCTGGTACGGAATGTTTTATAGCACTGTTCGATTACCGTCACAGCGGAGACAGATCCAGATGTCTTTTGCCAATGCCATGTTTAACTAGTTTCTTGACCTTGAGGCCTTTCTGCGTTCCTCTCGTTTAAAATCATCACACATCAATGGTGGGATATATAACCTAAAAAAAAATATAATACCATACTACTGCAATATAATCTAACATCCTTTAGCACACGTTGCTGAATATCTACATAGAAGCTGAATATATAAAATAAAATATTTCCGGATACCACCAGTGAGACCTTGAATGTGATAAAACCAGAATACCACCTTGTGGCCATTTCTTTTTTTAAGAAAGTTTATGTTTTCTTATTTTCACACGTTGTCGAATAATGATACATGATGCATATATGTACATGTATATGAGACAATATGTCTCTATTGAAATATTCATATGTACTTGAAATCAAAGTAACAAAGATTTTTTACTTGGACCTAATGTCAACGTGATTTATTTCTCGTTCGATGTTACATAGAAACCGTTTGCCAAAAAGACCATGCTCATTTTTGGAGACTTAAGGCTCCAAAAGAAATATTTTTAAACGTTATAATTTGTCTCCTGCTGATAGTCAATGGGGACGATCCAATGAGATACCATCTGCTTAACATCTACACCCTACTCAGATATAAGATACCTTTAGTTGGTCAGTCCATGTCTTGTCCCATTATGCCAAGCACCAGACAAGGTGCAATGACAGCTTTTAGAGTAATTTGCGAGGCGATCGAAGGCGATTGAAGGTGATCGAACTACCGACTTAATAATGGCAGGACGGACGATCTATCCATGTCATCTTGAAAATTGTCCACATTTGACCGAGAGATATAATGACTAAGAATATAAACCGACGTACGAAAGGAAGTATATACCTGGTGTTTCGGGATTTCTTTTTTGAACACGTACATCATGTTTTCGGATTGTAATGAAAGCAATTTAAAATAAATTTATATATACGTTGTTTGATGGAAAATAATTACAAATTCCAAAATACCAGGTGTCTAATCGCGTAATGATGAAACCAGCGTGTACATCAGAGCACGTTGGTTGAAACAATCTAAAGACATATCATTATTGAGCAACGGGATAATAGACCCGGCAGCTGGAAACATTCTCGTTTTCTACTGTGGTCTTTGAGATGAGTGCGACACTGATAATCATTTGTTTATATCATACTTTAACATAAACCAGTGTGATTAATGCGTAGATCGATACTCGTAATGTCAATCAATGGAGTGTCTGAATACCATAACTTCATCCTGCTTTTCATATCTGTAAATAACCCATGGAGATCCGTGTTAGAATTGGTCTTCAGCTGAGTCAACAGAGGCATTCTATCAACAAACTCACATGTCATCGTATCCCAATTGCTTAGGTATGTGCAGGATGTCAATGACTGGATCATCTGGTACAGCCTGCCGTCATATAGTTGGAATATTAGTGCGTGTGGCGTTAGAAAACAAACAAAATGTCAACATCTTGACTGATATACCCGTGGATACTTAAGTTGAAGCTGGATTTGGAAGTTAGTGTTTGTTTAGTTGGGGATTGCTTATGGGTTGCTTCTGAAACATTTAAGTAATATCCAGCATTTACGGTTTAAGTTTGTAAGCCTGTAATTCAATGATATCGAGATGCGAAAATATGATCCGTTAAGCAGACGAACGACGACCACTTGTAACGTCTAAATGTGGTTATCATTTACCTCATTTGTTTACTGACATTTACAACTGTTTCAGGGGCGGTGGGGTAACCTAGTGGTTAAAGTGTTCACTCGTCACGCCGGGACCCGCAATCGATTCGCCACATGGGTACAATGTGTGAAGCCTATTTCTGGTGTCCCCGCCGTGATATTGCTGGAATATTGCTAAAAGTGGCGTAAATCTAAACTCACTCACTCACTACAGCTATTTCACCGTCTGTTGCAGGTCACTTCATCACATTCCTGGAAAATGTCGTAAGCCATGCGTCGGTATCCACGATTCTAGCTATCAGCATAGAACGATTCAGAGTTGCATGTCGGACACAAACGCAGCTATCTACCAGAACTAGCGTTATAGTGAAGGCCTTCATATGTGTGTGGACCGTTTCCATCATCTCGGCGATCCCGTTCTTCTTCATCACCGAGTACAAGACCCTGCTTCTCGTTGATGGCACGCCAGTTCCAGTCTGCAGAACCCCCATCCACAAGACATGGCACAGAGTTTACATCGTCCTCATCACCAGCTTCTTCTTCGTCATCCCACTCCTCTTCATCCTCACACTGTACAGCAAGGTAGGGACCAAGCTGATATCCCTGTACAGGATAGAGCGGCAGAAGCTGGAGACGTACCCCAAGGAGATAGTCAAGCTGAAGAGACAAATGATACAAATCATCGTCACAGTCGTGCTTGTTTTCTTCATCTGCCACACGCCTTATCGAGCACTGGTCATTTGGACAATGTTTGAGGACCGCGGAACCCTACGGAACTTAGGGTTGGAGGGATATCTGGCAGTGCTGTATTTTCCTCGTATCCTTCTCTATTCCAATCACGCCATTAATCCATTTGTATATAATTTTGTTTCCCGGAAGTTCCGACGTGCTTTACTGTGGGTGTGCTGTGACAGACGACGTAATGTCTCACGTATTGATAAACGTGAACAGGCTGAACTTCATCCGAGAAGAGGGTCCAGATTTCAAAATGGTTCAGCTAGGTTTGGCAGTGTGCCCAAGGAGGAGATAGAATACATCGTTCACACAAATCGCAGCCACAGGAACGATTTTTTAGTATTATACGAAAACCTGCTAAACTGAAGGGCGTTCTTCTTTAGTTTGTATACACGAGTCAATATTGGCAATTGAAGATTCTTTCAACTTATCATAGATTTGTTTAAATGGCATACATGTGTCATGTCATATATAACAAGGGATACTTTTTTGCATCTAATTGTGCATCATGTATGTTGGATGTTGGCCTGTGTGATTTTCTGCTGGATAACAGGTACAAATGGACGACCGACTCATGAAAAAATATAAAAACCATATATTATGCATTTCAGAAATAGTCATAGGGCCCGTAAGTAGGACATGCTTGACCGTTATTCTTTGCAAAACGGCAGTGGAAAGTAAGGTACCGATAATCCTTGAGGGATAACTAATTTCAGATCTAACCATCCCTAGATTAGCCAACCATTACGTTTCACCAGCTGTGACAGCCAATTATGGATGTACACTGATCTGGTTTAGTCATATTTGGCGGTCGCGCAATTTGGAAACCTGGTACCTGAAGTAAGCTGGGCCCCGTCTCGCATATCGCAAGCTGGAGCGCGCAAAGGGAGCCGACAACTAGCTAATTATAAGTACCGGAAGTAGCGACTTATGGCCCTATTTGATATCATATAAATGCATCTTCCTGTAGAAAAAAAAAATCATCCAAGATATAATGTGATTTGCTGTTTGTGTGGAGTGAGTTTAAAAAAGGACCGTGAGACTGTATTGGTATTGTAGTGATATTATATTTTGTGTTTTTTTCTGGTGTACTTTCCATCATAAGATATGCATCTTTTGAGAATTCAACAATGGAATTCAGTTCAAAATGTAGTTTGCTCTTGGATGTACATGTTATCAGGATTTATTTGTTTTTTACAAAATCTGAACATACAATGCACTAGGAATGCATTATAACGAAATCAACAGACCACAAGTTTATAGTTCGGTATAATCGTAGTTCATTTAGAATCAAATATACAGCAGGTGGCCTGGACATAAATAACAGTTCGTTATATCCGTCGGTTCGTTACAAGCGTGTTCGTTATAAACTTAGTTTACTGTATGTTACATACTGGCTGGTTTTGCTGTATTTTTTCGTCATTAATTGTTGCGGAACTAAATCAAGATAGTCATTGATCAAAAAGAAACGATTAAGTACAAACATCTGGCTTGCTGGAGAGAGTCGCTTTATATTCATGTTTATTTAGTTGATTACGGATCTATGGCAGGGGCGTAGCAACCATTACAAAAAGGCCCGGGCTTACGCATGATTGCTGAAAAGGTTTGGCAAGTCTTCAATTACACATAAATAAAAAAACTTTGCAAAACTATCGAGCTTACAAAACCTATCGGGCTGAAAGGAATGGCTTGCTACGCGCCTGTAAGGGCTGCATGCAGACAGGTTAAATCAGATCCGTTGGTTTCCAGATGTATTTTTTTGGGCAATGATGCAATAGACTGACACGAGAGAGATTGGGACTTTAGATAATTAATCAATTTTAAGAAATAATGTCTATTTTGTGAAGCATTTTTTTCAATGTAATATATTACATTATTTAACTTTTTCATCAATATGGTGAAAAATCAGCAGTCTTTCCTGTACAAAATGAACATTAAACGGTTTTTGTCCGCCCATATCTGATTTGTTATTTCTTTCTGACATGATCACAACTACATACACGCACATACTGGTATCAAGGATATAATGCCAGCTGTCAATGCACAAAAGCCTGTTTGTTTTCTGAAAATATAAAAACTGGTCTTGAAACCGCATCACAGTTTTTTGTTGTTTAACGCCGCGCACTCAGCAACATTCCAACTATATGGTGACCGTCTGTAAATATTCGAGTCTGGACCAGACAATCCAGTGATTAAACTGGGTTACGATGACATGTATCAACCATGTCAGCGAGTCTAACTGTTTCTGTGATCCGATGTGAAGAAGGAACTTGTGACAGAGGTCGAGTCCTGCTTTCGAAAGAGCTATCGCCTCACGGTGTAAGTCCCATTGGACTGCAGACAGAACTTGCAGAAAGTGATGCTCAATGGATTTCAAGAATCGATTGGTGCTGATTACGCAGACAGGTATGCGACCCAGGAGAATGTCCATTCACACATTTGTAGACACGGATCAATATCTTTTGCAGTAAATCCATTATCAGCCACTGGAGGTGTTGAAGAACTGGTGTCCTTTCTCATATTGTTTTGTTTTGCGTTGCTACGTCTCGTTTCGGTTTGTCAGCAAATATTTCATCGGCCGAGGAGAGGTAAATCGTTACAGAGACGTATTAGCTTTTATGTAGTGTTTCTTCCAAATCCGATGGATATTCCGGTTATGGTGGTATGAAACTGGTTAATCTAATAGCGTCATCGATTTGAATATAAAATTTAATTGTCTGGTGGACAGCACTTGTGTTATCATAACAGTGGTACAACTAGTCGCTGCTTATCCGACATGATTGTCAACACGAATTTTAACAGGTTCTTGTGGATTTTGTAACTATGTCTTGCCCCAGAAAAACGTACCAATGGGCTGGTTGCGTTATTGTCGCATGAAACATTCTCATCCATTCTGCACCATGTTGCATGCAAATCTGAATCAAAACCACAGGGCAATTCCAACACATCTCAAGCTGCAATTGAAGCAGTTTGTCAATGTCGCATCATGACTAACCCTACAGTATTACCTTCAAGCAAGAGTAGATTTTAGTGAATGGCATGTTTCAGTTTATTAAGCAATCCTTAGCACTCTGGTATCTTCATCAATGATGGCAGGAGACGCTCAATGGCAGGTCAATTACAACTTAGAAATGCAATCATTCTGAATGCGAATGGCGAATTAGGTCGCTATGCCTATTATACCTTCAAGCAGAAACTCACCATTTCCTCTCCAGTAAGGCTAAACGGGATTTCGTCTCGGCCCACGACCTGTCATTTTGTATCATACCCAATTGGTTCTGTCTTAATGGACAATATGAGTTGTCTGCAAATGTCCAGATTCATAGGAATCATTGCGTGTTAACCATGAGTTAGTGCGTCAGTCTCTGTGTGTGTGTATGTGAGTGAGTGAGTTTCACATCGCATCTAGAAATATTCCAGCAATATCACGGCGGGGAAAAGCAGAAATGGGGCTCACACCGTGTAATGCGTGACAAATAACCTTTCATGAAGGACTGATCAGTTGTGTTTTGCTTTACAGACAGGCCGAGAGTTTATTCAGTACAAACGCCATACTACAGGCAATGTTTGGTTGCATGAATCGTGTTTTGTTATTATTCATGAAACTTATAAACATATACATATAAAGTGCCTCTCCCATAGTGTTTTCTTTTTTAATAAAACATCGACAAAACTATGCCTGAGAAACATTAAATATTAATGATCAATGAGCTGTCTTGTAATTTGAATATAATGCAAAGGAGAATGTGTTCAGGAATACTCGCGTAGAAACAAGAAACAATCTGTTCTGAGATCAATTAGCCCACGCATAAAAAAATGGCATATTGTAGTCTTACATCGTGGTATGTAAATCCCTTGCCAGTAATTGATATTGTTTGTTTGAAATCTAATGCATGAACTAATTCCTGAGTAGAAACGACGTGGAACGCTTTTGTTGCTGTCATCTTCAGGTTGGTAGCCTTGTGGATAAAGCGTTCGCTCGTCACGCCGGGTTCGATTTCCTATATGGGCACAATGTGTGAAGGCCGTTTCTGGTGTCCCCGCCGCGACATTTACCCGTGTTTTCTTCTGGGTTTTAAGGGTGTAATATGTCATCTCAAGGTTTCCACTTGTTTTTCAGTCGTGCCGCTGGGCTAAAGCCGCACCACCATGCACGTGTCACAGTTTTAATGTCGTCACGTTGTACAGATGCCCGGATGGATCTAGTTTTAAAAGAAGTACGAAATGTGATTCCAGAATAGAGGACACATGCCCTAGTACGGTGTAGATACATGTATTATGTACAAAGTGGTGATACAATAAAATGCGTTAGAACGTGCAGTTTGGGTAATAGCAATGACGACCGTAAAGAGAGGGCATCTTTACCCAATTTAGAACTTTAAGACAAGGTATCAGTGTTCGAAGTTTGAGGTCTTATTTTTTTTAAATTTGTTGAATACATATTTGTGACTGAAACAATTATAAGTTGGGTATAATAAGCACAGTAGTACAAGAACTGCTCAAACGTTAAACCCAGTATGTCGGTCACTGAATTGTCTGGTCCAGAATCACGTTTTTACGTGGTGTCTTTTTACAGTTGGAACATTGCTGAGCGCGGCGTCAAGCAACAAAAAATCAGACAAAGATATGTACGTTTTCGACACGATTCGATTGCCATGTGTTATTAACGTTTGACCGCCTCCATGATCACGTCAATAGACCGGAGAGAGTATGGTCGGTGGTTCGATCCATGTCTGTTTATTATCAAAGACTTTAAAAGATGGAACATGTTGTAACCATGTCTGGCGCATGGCATTTAGGGACTAAAACAAGTACTGGTCGGTTTAGAACAAATGCACTTTGTCTGAGCATTTTAAACTAAAACATGTGTACGGACTAGTACAAGCAGACCCAAGCGTGTTCATGCACGTTCGGGGCAGTGGGGTAGCCTAGTGGTTAAAGCGTTGGCTCGTCACGCCGAAGACCCGGGTTCGATTCCCCACATGGGCACAATGTGTGAAGCCAATATCTGGTGTCCCTGCCGTGATATTGCTGGAATATTGCTAAAAGCGGAGTAAAACCATACTCACTCACTCACTCCATTTTCCTGGGCATTCATGTCGGATGCTACTTTAACCAATACTAAAACAAGAACTGATGGGCTCAGTGTCAGTGCACTTTGTTTGACCTGTTAATCCATTTTAAACTAAAATAAAAGCATTAGTTTGGACTTGTACAAGCAGACCCAAGCGCGTGCTCATATGGGCAATAATGTCAGACGCCCCGTTAGAGCCGTCTCCCCCTCGCCTCACCTCACCTCACCTCACCTCACCTCTCACCATTGAAGTTGGGATCTTACTACTACAATGACGGGCAGTTGGGATCAAAGCAATGGTTAATATTTCATTTACACAAGATATAAGACGTTTCCTCAACGGCCAAAGTCAAGGGAAGACATCAGATTGAAAATAATAGAGATATGTTCACATATGAATAAACTGTTTTTAGTAATTATTAATAAATAACACTCCATTTTTTCTCCAAACTCCCCTCTTCCCCCGCCAAGAGAAAAGAAGAACACATCAGTCTTTGTAACTAAAGCACTGTCATTGTCAGTGTAATCATTCTTTTTCCGCCATTCCAACGACTCCGCCGAAGTTGTGGCAACAACAAAGGTCGAGGGCAAGACGATACCAGTCATTAGAAAGATTAGATGACCCTCCTTCGGGAACCATTTGGACTTCACAAAGCAAGTAAAAGACTAAACTAGACTCTTTACTGGTGAATGATATCAAATGACCCCAGACTGTTCCCATCACAGGCATGTTTTATGAAGTTTAA